CTATGTAAAAAACAGGCGACGACTTCTCTACTAAGGAAATGGTCTGGGTTTGCACACCTTATTTGTTCAATTGGGGTATAAGCCTTCTTTCCCCTGTTGCTATGACATTTCATGCTAAAAAAAAAAAGCTACTTAACACAGAGAAAAGGCATGACCCAGACTCCATTAGATTAGGAAAGGCACTGTAGGTACATCTGACCCACAAAGGCACATTGCGCTCTGACGGGAAGAGGGAAGAATTTCTGAAATGGATAGACCTAACCCTTGGGATTTTAGAGCTGCAGCTTTGATCTTGACATGAAAGAAATCCCAAGCAGGCTTTAAGATGCAATGTGAACCACTGAGGTAGCTATCAGGGACCTAAAAATATTTTGCCTTAAGGCTCAAACACAAAAGAAATAATCTGATTAACCAGATTTGACATAATGGTTTGTGTTCTTGACAGTACAGTCATTTCTCATATCATTTTGGATAAGGATGAAACTTGATAACCAGTAGACTGCTTCCATGCTATTATTCCCAAGTCAGATGGTTTCTTCGTGTCACTGCTTGTAAAATGGCAATAGCCCTTCCCTGTACCTCAAAGTAGTATTGCGTAAGTTCATGAATGCATGCACTGAGACACAGACAAGAATTATGAATTGAGAAAACCCATTAGTAGACAACAGCTGCTGGAGGTGGGTGCTTTGAACTACATCCGAGAATTGTTCCATTTTTACATGGAAAAGCACATTTCTCGAAATGGATCACTTCCCCGTGCGGTTCAGAGCTCAGCTGCAAGCTATGCCAAGTACCACCAAGTGCAGGAAGGAATCTCTTATCCTGGTGTCAGCACCAAATTCCATCTATGACACAAGAACGACGTCAGAAGCTGCACAGTTCCATCCCTTACCTTATCCACCTTGAGGCTTTAAGCCAATGCAACTGACAGCTGACTGACAAAGGCTGCAATGTGGGAACTCTCAAGTGGAAACAAGATTTTTCTCTCTCCCTAACCCTTTCTTTTAAATGAATAACACCCCAATTTTTAAGGGGTTAGCAACAGTAGCCATACAAGGGCACTGGAGACAAGCAACATCGATGCAGAGTGCTGAGAACCAGAGTAACCCTATGAAAATCCTTTTCACAGTGCTGTTTCTTTTTCAGCCCAATATTCCTCTTTAGCAACACAACACATTTAAAACGGCTCTGTGGCACCACAGGACGGCTGGTCTCTTGTCTGTTGCAGACATCAGGTGCAAGTGTAAATAAGGATTATACAAATGGGAGGTCGTTAGAAGTCTGGTAATGCTAATTTGGCATGACACCCCTAATGGGTTATATCTTCACACTTCAGTTATCTAATCACCTAAATTCTTTTAACAAATTTACATTTCATCTTATACATGGAGATTCAAATTGACTTGTTTAATTCTCCCTCCACCCAAACTGTACCCATACTCAGTTCATCTTATATATTAAATATCATCATCAATTTTGAGATCATCATCATCATCAACTACATATACACACAGATAATACAACTGCACATGTTTATATTCTTAGGCATACAAAACTTCCCCTGCCTCTAAACATCTTTTCATTTTTCACAAAATTTTGAGATCTCAGGAGAACCGCAAATACACGTATGTATCATCAGAAATGGCACCTCAGCTTGAAATCTACCTTGTTGGTAGGATACTTCCATTTTCCTAAGAGAAGTGAAAGGGAATAAAGTGACTCTTAAATCAATAATTTACACATCACGTTTCTATCCATTTCTACAGTCACGTTTTACAACTTTGTTTTCCTGTTGAATATAAAAAGTTACTCTGAGGAGCTGTTCACTCGTCCTGCTTTGTTCAGGAAATGTAACGACACAAGGAAAAAAGCTTTAAACTGTTCACACCTTCTACATAACACTGAGATTTTATTGTATGTGGAAGGTTTAACATTCCAGTTAGAACATTCTACCTGCACAGACTCTCATTTTCTTAGCTTGGAGTCCTCATGAACTAAATGTGAACTAAAGAAATGTAGCAAAACCCCACCTGGATTATATTAAGATAAAGCTAAAGTCACTGCTATGATAACTGCACTTGCCTATGGAACAAAGAACCATATTTAATTAGAGATCTGGCTGACTAACACAGCCAACTCTTGATGACAACATGCTACTATAAAATCAATATATTCTTGTGTATTTTAATATGATGATTCACTTTCCTAAATGTGCCAAAGGGATGCTTATTTTGGTTTTGCTTATTAAAAACACATGCAGAACAGAATCCAGTAGAGCAAATGTAGTTCTCCACTTTCCTCATGCAGACCTTGAAGTAATTACAAAGAAGTCAGTTGATTTATGCAATAGTTATATATCGGCTTCTGAAATAGATTTTGAGCTAGTAACTAACCAGTTGGTCCACGAAAGCACTTAAGTACACAAAGACAGAAGAAAGCACATGCTTAAAAGATTGCCTGAATTCTTTTCAGACTCTTTCCTGAACCAGGAGCTTACACAGTAACTTTAAATGGCAGCAAGAAAAGCTGAACGCCTTCAGGAACACCAAGAACGGTTCACTTCTTTCAAAATGCTATTTTTAACAAACACATCGGATCAAGAACAGCCAAGTGTGACCATTAGCTCCTACATAACTACATGTACACAAAACGAGAGAGGTTTTGTTTTCTGATTGATTGGCTTCTTCACTGTAATATATTTTCCTATCAGCAACTGTTTAAATACAAATTGGGAATTTGTTAATCCATTTTCTATAGATTTTTAAAATATCCTTGAGTAGATAGTGGGCTTGCTCTTTTACCCTCTTGCGTGAGGAGGAATTCAAATAGCAATGAAGTACTGTGTTAGTGTGATGCAAAGGGTGGTAAGATGCTTTATTTTTTAAAAATGTGTGTCCATGAGGAAGACAGGGGAGGAAAGTGAGAGAGGGAAAAGTACATGTCACTTCCAGTGGAAGTTGACAAGCATAAACAGAAGTTTCGCATGTTAGGATTCATCAGGCTGCTGTTAAAGATAAGAAAAACAAGTTTCAGTGCCTGGAATTATTAAGAAAAATCCAGTTTCGGCACAGGGAATACTGCCAAAGGAAGGAAAAAACCCAAAGAAGAACCATTGCTATGTTAATAAGTAACCTCATTTGCTCAGTCATTTACTATCACACCAATGTTTTTGGACTCTTTCAGCAGCCACACATACATAAGAAGCTTTTCACAACTGTCTGGAAGGCTGCTACCCCTCTCTTCCCTTATATTCCTTTTTTGAAAGTCCCACTGTTAGCAATATCTAGAACTTATTTGGTGTTTATTGCAAGACTAGAGGTAGCTGGGACAGCCAACATATACTGGTATAATTTAATGAAAATATAACATTTTTTTCCATGAACAAAAAAATAAAAAGCTGCCCAGTTCCTGAATTTGCGTCCTATGGCCCTTCACCGCTGTTCTGTGTTCTCCTCTAACACACACATCCACTCCCCATTTCACTATCTCAATACTCCCAGTTCCACTCCACCTTCCCCAACTCTTGGCTGGACAAAGTAAGCGCCTACAGACCGTTTCAAGCAACCCATATGCTAAGAGTCATGCCAAACCACACTGCAGCTACCTGCTCACCAGGGCACGAGTCTAATCTCAGTCCTCTATACAGTTGCTAATTTCCATGTTTTTTTAAAGGCATGGAGGAACGGAGACATCTACCTCCTTCAAACAAGCTGGAACCAGCCAGCTGGACTTGCTACAAGTCCCTAGGTGGGGAACAGAGACATATAAATAATCAATGCAGGCCTTACTTCCCAGGGTGTGCTGGTAGGTTAAGCCTAGATGGGGTAGATGGACTGAGGCACCAGCAGGACTTCATACCTGGAGACGTCCTTGAGCAGACCCCAGCCACTACAGGTTATCATTATTGACCATCTTTCCCTGTCTGTAGCCAAATTTGATGGCAGAAGACAGTAAAAAGGTCACCTGAGCTGCATCATCTTGGGTTTACACAGGCACACCCCCTTGTTTCAGCAAAAAGAAACATTTGGCTTATACAGGTAATAGCTAATGCAAACCACAGATAAGTTAAAAATAACCATGAACAGGGTTGAAAAAGGCACAACACAGCACCAGTCGTACACAAATACTCATGGAGAAACGTAGGAGCAAGAAACTCATTACAGTGTCCGAGGTTTTTAACTTCTGTGTGATGGCAGCTACCCTCTTCTTCTCTACAATGTACTGAAATCTTCCGAATCTTAAAATACACAATGCTGCACAGAGGCAAAGCTGCAGACACTTAAGTGACATGTACAAAGGACAAGAAGTAATGCACTGAAATTTAATTATTTAAGATGAACTTTCCTCAGTAACTCCCCTCTTGATTTCACTAAACCACATTATAAGTATACCTTTATTTAAAAAAGTACCTTTAGAATGCATTAAAAGAAGGCAAGATTATATTTTCTCATCTAGTATGTGCTCAGTGGCTACAATTCTGCACTTGAAGGCTGAGCTCCATTTAACATCTTGTGATAGCAACACCCAAACAGAAAAAAAGCTTTCTTTCTGAGCTGTACGTTGGCCACTCTATGGGAGGAAATGGCTGCGCATCTCCAACTGCTATTAATGCAGGTGATAGGACAAAACTTTATCCCGTCTCACCAGACTGTTAGCAGTATTTCTAATATTCAGGCTCATTTACAGCTGTACTTTGCAATCCCTTCACTCCCAGTACGTTTTTAGCACACTTACAAGCATACATGGTGCTGCTTCTGGCTCTAAACTACAGCGGAACATGATGGAATGAAATAAGCTTCTCGTCTCAGTTGCTCTTGCTCCTAGAAAGTATTTGTTTATCTAGGCCAATCGCTGCTCCCGTATCTATGTAATGACTTCCTCATAGCAGTCGGAGATTACCCACACCGCTGATCACTTTATTACTTCAGAATGGCTGTTTATTTACTTTAGTGCAGGAGTAACATGCAGGGATAAAGCTTGTCACAGCTGGGCAAACTCACCGTACTCCTTACGCAGGTGGTCTGGAATGTGGGGCTCATAACCTTCCTTCTCAGGGACCTCCACAAATTCATCTTCGTCCTCGTCGTCGTCACTGTCATCCGAGGCTTTCATCTACAGAGATATTGTTGTTGTTTTTTTTTTTTAAAATGTGAAGACTGCTTTTCATTTCCCTTCATATTGAAAATATTTCTCAGACATCTCGATAGCCCTACTGAGACTCCTCTATGTCAAAAGTATTTCCCTAATTATGTATTTAATCTTTATCTAAGATTAGGCCTTTGCTTAACATTTTATCTCTAAAGCCATACTCTATCCTAAGGGCTTCTTTAAAGCCCCTTTTATCCATTAGAACACATGCAGTTGGTGAAGTCTGAGAAAGTGTGAAGCTATAAAATAAGACCAAAAAAATCTTAAAATAACATCAAGATTTTGATTTAATGAGCAAATTATAGCCTTCTCTCTTCTCCTTTGGTTGATTTTACTCATTTAGCTGCACCCAAATAGTCTGTGGCATGTTAAATAGTGTCACAAATTGTTTAAGAGCTCAAAACCAGAGCCGGCAAACAGGAGGGGAAGCTGAAGGACTGGCAAGCTAATACTGACCAAAGGAAGAATATTCAGACCTGCATACTACAACGTTCACTGTGTTTCTTCACAACAGCACTCAAAATAATTTGATACATTCATTTCTTCACTAATTCGGTACATCCTAACCATTCATACCATTAGACTGCACACATTACCATGGTCAAGACCAACAAAATGCGATTTTAAAAACGTGCGCTTGGTCTATATTGCAGTCTGAAATTGTCTACGACCAGCTGAAAAATAAAAATGGAGCTCCTACCAACTACCCAGGGTAATTCATTCACCTAAGTGTCTTCCTATATATCATTTCAGCTAGCTACTACTATATATGTGCCAGCAGGTCTCTACATTTTTTTTCCTAAGCTGGTTCCATACCTGAAAATGAATTTTTCTTCTATACTACACATAAGCTAAAAGAATCTGTGCCACCTCAGACATGGCCTGTACTATCAGAACTTTAAAACAGCAAATGCCAACTACCCTAAAAAGGCAGCAATGATTAAGGTTGTATGCTTTACTTCCTTTGCCCACCTTGGGAGTCGCCTAATTCTTAACAACCACATAATTAGCACATTACTGTATGTTTGCCATGCACTTTCACAAGTCTAGGAAATAATAAGGGGTATCCACTAAAACCAACCTTACCACAGGCTATCACTTTTTTCAACTTCATTGCAGCAAGCCAAAGCAACAGATAAGGAATGGTATCATTTTTACTATTTTCAGCCATGTTCTTTACTTCTCTTAGTGCATCTGACTTACGTTGATATTCATATCAACTGCTCATTGTTACAAGCACCGGAGGATACCGCAGGTTTTGCCTGCGGCAGAATTTTCCCAATTTAATTCACTACTCTAATCGTGTGTCACAGCTGCACAGCTGAGTTCCTTTAAATCATACATATACTCTGAAGCCAAAAAAACCCTAGAAACCAATCTTGGTTTATTGAATGTAGTTAAAAATGTAATAATAAATAGTAATAAATAATAACAACAACAACAAACCAGCTTTTCTTTTTGGTCACTATTACTTGTAAGCTGGACTGAACTAATTTCTAATAAAAATCACTAATTGATATTAATACACATATTGATATGCTTTAACATATAATGAATGGATGGTGCAAGTTAGAGTACAATTCTTCCCTTTGTTTAAAAAAGACTTTGATTTAAGAAAGCTGCAGTTCCAGTAAAAAAAAAAAAAAAAGAAAAAAAAAGATTTACTGTCCTGAAGAATAGAGTAGATTTACTACCTCATTCTTACCAGAGGACACTTAATTAGCCTTCATTTTAAAATAAAGTCCCAGCATAATCATGTTTGAAAGCACCCTGCTGCCAAAGACAGGTAACAACCACAACGTGGTCTCTTCAGCCCCATTATCCCCACCTTGAGAGCTGCCAACCTTCAGGCGACGCTGGAGGAAACTGCACCCTAGTTTACTTTCTGTTTCCCACTGCAATCACTTTTCCTCATGCAAAGAAAAGCAGCAATTCAGGCCCTACCTGGCAGGGCCAAGACAGATGCATGCTGAACCTGACCTCCACAGCAGAAACCAAAATAGAGTCCTAATGCAAAGAAAGGGTCAAATATTCTACCGCTAACCACGAACTCGCAAAGGCACCAGACATGAAAGAACATCTGTGCTAAACCGCAACTTTTAGAAGACCTTCCCAACGGCCCTTAGAAAGAAAAACATCATCAGGTTTTGTACTCTGCACAACAGAAGAAGGCTAGAGATTGACGAGAAGTTTGTTTGTTTGTATTTTGGTTTCAAAATTCTGCCGGTGTTGTCATCCCCTTTTTATCTGTTAGGGGCAATTTAATTAAGTTCAGAAATAACATCCACTCCTATTTCTCCAGCTAGAAGCAGGGCAACATCATGTTTTCCATACTCAGGTTCCATTTCTCCTTTAGCTATTAAAAAAGATTTCACCAAGCTAAAACTTGTCACGGATGATCTTAGTCTACAACTTTGTGCATAATGTAAAAGCTGACTAACTTTCACATTATAAAACAGGGAAGGTAAATTCAGTGTATTTCCATAGTTTTTACTCACAAGTAGTCTGTAAACAAATAAACAGCAACAGGTTTAAGGAATTGAGAAATAATGTCAAAGTAGTAACAGAAAGAAAACTCAGTTCAGACTGATCGTTTAACTTAAATTGCCAGATTATACCCAAAATATCAGTGGGTATAACACAAGTACTCAGTCAGGTGCATGGTGTATATGAGAGGACTAGAAAGAATTCAGGAGAGTACTATCTTTAATTGAAATTTCGCCTAATTTGTTCAGATGCCGTTGGAGGAACGTAGCTCTCTGAACATGAAGATACTAAAATTCAGTGGGCTTCACTAATCCTCAACTTGAAAACTGCATTAGAAGCAACTCTGCTGTATTACCTGCACGGTCTAAAACTTTAAAGCACGTGAAAAGCCTGACAGAGAGAAGGCATAATCAGATGCAAATTCACTTTGTTTAGGTACAATCCATGAACTGTGCATTCAAGTACTACAGAAAACATTAATCATAGGAAACTGTAATTTTTGTTATCAGTCTAACACTAATCAAAAGGGAAACCTGTCACTACCGCTGACCTGTGAAACGTCCCAATTATACTCTTCGGAAATGACAGGAGCACTTAACTTCCTCACTGAGTAAATGACGACGATCAATCAAGTTTGAATAACAATGAGCCACGGAGCTGAAAATTATTTTTTGTATAGAATCTACCCAGGAATTTATGAAAGGTGAAAAGCAACCCAAGGTTTTAGGGGCATTATGGCTTTCAGCTAGTGCAGCGCATATCAAACACTAAACAGAATTTATGTGTTTTAATTTTCTAAAAGGTAGATGTGGACTTGGTGCTACAATGCATAACATATAATGCCAGATTTTAAATATGGGGGTCATTTTCATAAAATATTATGCTTATTGTTCACACCCTTGAATTTCCCCGGGGTCTTCTATTAAATTTAGATTTCCTGTAAAAAAAAATTAACTGCTTAGCTAACCATAAGGAATTAAGCCCCCTTTTCCCTTCAAACAGACATAAAGTCTTTATTTTTATATAATCCTTAACAAGATAACTTATTTATCTTTTTATTTTAAAATATTAAAGTCATCACTGGTGGAAATTCAAAAAGTTGCACGGTAGTAGTGGGTAGTTGTATCTCAATTTACTTCATTCCAGTGGTGCTTAATCAGAAGAATCCCATTTATGCTGGTTTGCTCCATTCCTTTTCTCCAGAAAAGAGGAGAGCACATGGGCAATATTATTAGTCCAAAAAGTATCTTTTTTGTTAATTCCACTTCTCAAACATGAAGAAAGCTCCAAAGCAAGCTCTACAGACGCAATATGAAAGTTCAGCCACCTATTATCTACTTTTCCACTATTGGTAAACTTTTTCAGTCAATTAAAAAAAAAAAATCAATAATCCATAATAAAATAAGAAATAAATATTTAAGACAACATTTTGAGTGGCAGAATTAGTAAATTATAATCCTTTAGGAATGAGTGGTTAGGTACTTGCAAACAAGAAAAATGAGACTATGATAAAAACAAGCAATATGCCATTTCTAGCGTGCCATATCTGGAGGGAAGTAAAGTACAAGCTTAAGTGATAAATACTACAAAGTAAAGCTTTTCTTGTAGTGTGCAGAATTAAATACCTCTAAGATAAGTAGTCACGCAACTGGTTGTTCCTCAGTAACCTGTCAAAGAACATGGGAAAAAAGGTCCTGTTCTCAAATCCATTCTAATTATCAGGCGATAGGAGGGAAGTCACTAACACAGTTTGGCAGTCTTACCAGGGCCACCTGGTAAGGGTGAACCACCTTCTCGCTGTCGCTGGAGGCTGGACCGTCTGGAGGGAGACCAAACAGGTTCCCAGACAGCAGAGGCTCCTTGAACCATCATTGCTCCTCAAGATGCATGGAGACGGGAAGTTTCTCCATTCAGTGTTATCTGCTCTATAATGCTAACATTTATTTATTTATTCATTTGTTTAAATGAATCATGGGTTTGCAAAACTATGTGTTTTTCTTTTTGTTTTGGTTTTTTTGTTTTGGCTTTTTTTTTTTTTTTTTTTTTTACTTGGATTTTTTC